ATCTATTAATGATTGAGTTGGAATAAATGATTTTAACTTTGAATTTAGAACACTGCTAGCACACGGATTGTACTTATAAAAATATCAAAAATCTTAAAGAAATAAATTCTTTAATACAATATATTATGTAGTCACTACATATATATGTATAGTAAATTACTAACTAAAAAAAAGAAACATTTACTTAGAAACCACGGATGAGGGATTCCGTATTGTATTAAGGAATTTCCTAATTTCATACAGAAGCAGAAACTACGGTAAACGAAGTCCCGACTCCCGAGTAAAATGTTAGATAGAAATACATTTTCTATTTCCGTGTTTGTTTATTTTATCTACACGACATGACTTTACACCTTCTAGGTATACCTGGAAGGGGTACAAGTGTACTTTTAGGTCGTGTGTGTAGGTTTATTTAGTGTTTTGATCTGCACCATTTAGTATATGTCGACACTGATCACGTTACATCAGTGATCATTAGCAAATCAATAGCTTCCGAGTATTTGCGCATCAGAAAATAGAATAAAACTAGCGCCCGCCTGCGGTTTTACGCGTATAAAAGTAATGTATCTTGGAATTTTATAAACAGCAGCGTTTAAAGCGATAGCTTGACTAAATACGCATAACAAATATAATTTATAGCCCATATACCTCAGGAATATTGTAGCTATCAGTGAAAGATTTTTTGTGTGATTTAAGCTAAGATGCAACAGTAAAAGGGGAAACATACTAACTTGTCCAGACGCACTTCTACAGTATGTCGGAATCATACATTTATTATGAATGCTTTCAAATGTATCTTATCTTATATTTGTTTAAAAAGCCGTCTGCATTTTTGCACGTGTACATTGCTGTGCCGTGTCTGGTTATTATGTAATACCCAAACTCGATCTATGGATCACATCAAGCAGTTGGATGGCCGGCCACTACACCAACCTTGCCGTCATTTGTATCCGATGTGCCTATAGGGCATCACAACACACCAGTTTGTTTTCGCTACCGCATATCTGGAATAGCAACTCAAAACCACATCTCATAACAAAACAAATGTCAACAAAAATCGATCACAAACAAAGAGAAATGCCACATTGTATTACAGTTTTAATTAGCCCATTCGACCAGCTACGAAAGCTCTTCAAGATATTTTACAACCAGGTTTTCATATACCTCTACAAACTACACGAGCTACGGCACCGCTTTGGTTTAATGTTATACAATAATCAACTCTAAAATGTTGTTTCAGGCCATCACCTAAGTTCATTATGGGTCATAACTTATGACCCTTCCCCTTGAGGCAAGTTCCGCAGTTACTGCTTGATAAGTAACAAAATTGTTATTGCAGTCTCATTCAAAGTATAAACTTTGTTACCTGTGTTTAGTTATACAGTTAATTCGTTTTGTTTTTTATTGTTTGTTTAACTACTTATAAAGGACATGAGACAGTACTCATTTTATAAATAAGCCGTTACCTATGGATTTGAACAAAGAACCTCAGCTATATGTACCTTCTTTGCGTAACAGAATATCGTAGGAGCCCTATGTCGGTCATAGAGCTTGGAACTTCTGGACTACCGGATCAGAGAGCTCAGTTTGAGTTTGCTTTACGTTAAGGCGATCGACATGTTTATGACGTTCGGCGCTTTGATGGAACTACTCTAAGTTAATCAATAAATCAGATAATATTTCGAGCCCTTAAAAATAATGCCTCAAATTTAACCTAATATTGCATTATAATCAAGAATCTGTACTGTGCGATACCTTACTCCGCAGTAGCGTAAAAATAGTTCATACTTATTTCTATAATTTTTGTTTTTACAATACTTGTATTGAATGTACAGTCGGAACAATTGGGTAGTTTCCTTTGTCAAAAATAAATTAATTCGATGTTTCAGTACAATAAAATATTGTAGAATAACCATACTTTTATTCATCAATCTGTCGATAAACTAAATTTTCGATATATTTTAGCAAATAAATAAGAAATTTATTTGACGCAAAAATACTATGACGTCGTAATTCGCCGTTTCATACAAATTTCATAGAAAAGTATTGTTTTGGCATTTAGATAAAAGTAGGTACTGAATTTGACTAGTTGGAAACTACCGCGTTATTTAGTAAACAGTTAAGAAAATAAACAGGGCTGGTGTTAAGTGAATTTGTTTAAGGACTAGTTGGTAAACGAGCAGGTGGATTACCCGATGGTAAGCAATCGGTGCCACCCATGGACAACACCAAACGAACTACGAGTGTTTTTGATGTTCCAGATATTTAAGGATTGGGAAAGAATGGGGGTAAGTGGGATGGATTGGGCCTCGGGTAACCTCACTCACACGGCGAAACACAACGCTATGATTGTTTCACGCCAGTTTTCTGTGACGCCGTGGTATCTCTCCGGTCGAACCGACTCATTCGTGCCAAAACTTGAATTCAAATTAATGTCACTATAGACACTGTTTTTTTATAATCTTTAGTACTTTCATACGAAATAACTATGTAGACTGTACAATCTGTACATGAAAATAGTAATATACCTTCATCAAACGCCTCCCGACCTCTCTATCTACATACATTCCTCTCTCAGTGATTAAAGTAATATAAGCGCAAAACTGTGATTCCTACTATATCATTGCCTGCGTAATATGGACCCTAAGGCTTGCTAAATATAGACCTCATTCCATTGAGACCTCGTCTCGTCTGAAAACAAACTGTATACGAATTTCATGTTCAAAGTAAAATAAGCAGCATGTTGGTATTAAAATGATTTTGTACTAGTATTACCTACTATTAATATTGATACGTTAGTAGAATTTTGGTTGGTTAACTGCCAGTGAGAAATCTTGGTGCAAGTTCCCGGGTCAGACAATATAAGAATTTAAGAATATCAACATAAGATCTGTTTGAGATTTAAAAGTCAGAAAAAAGCATATTAATGTTATACAAGCATTATTGGAACGTCAAAATAGAATAATAGTTATAGCTCGCTAGTGAATCTAAGTACTCGTTCCAAAACTTAGATTTGAATGGAGACGATCGAGCCAGAATATTAAGCAATATGTTTTATATTGCTTAATTTTCTGGCTCGTTCGTCAACAATAGACAAAACATTATTTAATATTTGTTAATTAATATTATTATCGTCCTCTTATAGTACGTAAAATATTGTTAATTCACTTTATGTGAAAATAATACACTGAACAAATAGTTTAAACAAACAAAGTGATCAATTTTATCATCACCAAATTTTAAAACCTTTTTTGTTTCTAAGAGAATGCATGTCACTTATTGCATCTAATATCATACTACTTTTTATACACATAAAGGTCGAAGCTATGTCTGTTGACGACAAACACTAATTTCAATACAAATAACACTAAAACAAACTTTTTAACCTAGTTACTAAGCAAAGCTGAGGTTTTCTATAATTGAGGGAACAAAGCAATCAGTTCCAATGTATTTTGTGAGTGTGTAAACATAAGTGACAAAACGATTAAGGTTCTATACTTTAATGCGATGCGTTATGTTTTGTCTGTGGAAAGACATACAAAATAATGTATGTTTAGTTTTCAAACAAAAAATAAAAACTTATAAAATAAAAAAAATACAGATAAATCTATCAACCTATATACATGTTGGTAAGCGCATAACTCAATAACGCCTGGACCAATTCTACTGATTCTTTTTTTGGTATGTGTGTTATGGTCAGAAGAAGGTCTTATGAAAGAAAATTTTAGAAAAGTAGACAGGAAAGTTGGGTAATAGGGACTATTTCATCGTAAGCAAGATGATGAGACCCATGCGAAGCAGGGGCGAGTTGCTAGTATATCAATACATTTAAATTTTCTCTACCTACATCTTCTTGGTACTATGTCATTGTTCCTCCTCACCTACTCTCAAGAGGCGGCGTGTTTGAGCTTACTCAAATAGAGTCTTGTAAAGTTTAATGCGTTTCAAGGGATTGTTTACGTTACGAAGCTGTACAAACACGAAATTAGTTTTCCTTGTACGTGTGTACGGAGGGAACTGTTCACCTTCATTCTGCGGCTTCGGGATAATGTTCTTGATTTTTCCCTGAATGTCATCATAAGTGATGAGTTGAGTATAGTAAACTTTATTTGTCACGTAAAGGTTCAATTCTTATTTTGATGATAAGTTTAAATATATCAACGGGTAATTAAAAATGTAATAAGTAACTGAATCAATACGAATCGGAATAAGGATACCTTACTCAGTAGTTTCACTATTGATCACTAAACTACTGAAACTCAATTTTGTGGTAAATGGAATATTGATAAAGTAAATAAAAAAAGCAATCATTACCATGTTTCTCAGCAATATCTATAGTAACCATATTTTTAATCATTGATTTTACGATATAATAATTATATACTTTACATTCGTAGTATTTTGCAAACTAATTTTCAAGAAATTATTTTCTTATTTAACTCTAAAATTATAACGCCACAACTTAATGGGTTACTCTTGCAAAGTTCATTCAAAGGAAACAGTTGGATTTGTGATCACTTAAAAAAAATGAATTTCACTAACAATCAATTAAGTACATACCTACTGCACAGGAGAAGTGGTTTGAAGAACAAACCCACCATCAAAAAATAATTGGACAGCCAAAAAAGATATAATTAACTACCACTACTGCCTTTGCTAACTACAGTTTCATACGTAGCAAAGAGAAGGATGATTATACTGGACTGGACTATGTAAAATATGTATATTTAGGTAAGTACCTAAAACATGCAAATGTAATTTGCCACTCGTTTACTCATTGCACTTAAAATATAATCACTTTCTTAAGTAATTTGCACAGCAAGAAGAATAGTCATAGTCAATGAGTTCGAAAACAAAAAAACAAAATAAGAAAGGTTGTCTGAAAGAAATCACCTTGTGTGATAAAACCACCCATTGTAATCACAACATTCGGACATAGTATCCAATGTATTGCTACTTGGTGTATGTTTGCAATAAAGTATAAATAAATAAATACATACATTGTATCCCATCGGATAGTGAACTAAATAGAGGTCCACGTACTCCATCTCGAGTTCTTCGAGAGACTTCCACAGCGCTGGCAACACCTCATCGCGACCGTGGGCGTCGTTCCACAACTTCGAACAAAACAATTAATTATACACTACCTGCCTAATAACTAAGCAGCAGGATTTTCATAATTACCCAACCAAAGTTTCGTTGCTACTGAAGTACTGTCCAAATACTGTTATCAAAGAGGGTTTATTTTGTTATAGTTTGAAGTTATTTTAGGCCGAAACAAAGGTTAGGAAAATAACAACGAAATGTTAATTAGTCATCATAAATATTTAGTTTGGCTGTAAATGATATAATTTGGTTTTAAACAAACGCGACTTGGGTCTCGTGGAATCATAACCTATAGGCTATAATAAGTTAATAAAAACTAGCTTTTAGGAGTACCAAAAAAAACAATCAATCATTTTTTCCACTACATTTGCTACACATAAAGAGAGAAAGTAATTTAAAATTGTATAAGAACTTCGATCATAAATATAAAGCGTGTTCCAAGTCTGCAATATACAGGCTGTTCACGTACAATGCACTTAGATACATTGAGGCCCTTAATGCAGTCAGAAATCACTAACAAAAGTGGTTTATTATAGCGGGGAGTGTATTCTAAGCCACGTATATACCATTAATAATGTACTACGAAACTCATTTTCGTAGTGACACACACGTCTAGGCTCCTTTCACTAGATACTAAAGTAATAATATATGGAATAACTTTGCTCAAATATGTTTGCTGCCATAACCTCTGGGCTAAGGGAATGTGAGGCTACATTCAGCCAATATCGGTATTTATCCTTTTACTTTATTCTTGATTTGACCTTTAGTTTTACAAAAAAGTTTTTAATGTATTACTCGCTCTCATAACATAACTTCTGATTTAAAATTGTTAACGTATCTTAAGTTTATAATTTTCAATTAATTTGTATAAGTTGCCAGTAACATTTATTATGTTTTAGCTCCAAGCAATAAATAAACAAGAGTAGACAGGATAATTGACACTGAAATTCGAATTAACCTAATCGCTATTCCAAAATAATAAGGCTATATATTAAATAGTTCAAATCTAGCGAGAAAATTTGATTTAAGTGAAACGAAAGGCCACTGAGGGCCTGTTTCTCAATGTCTGAATGTCTGCTATGTATCAGATAATGTTTTGCCAGCCATTTAATCAGCCAGAAGAGGTCCACTACTGAACCAAGGCCTCTCCTTACTCCTTCACGTCGAAGGATAACTCACCACACCATCAGCTCCCCGCGACTCTGTTGATATCGTTGGTCCAAATTTGAATATGTATCTAACATAATTTGTACAAATAAATTTATAGGCAAGAAAAAGACTACAAAAAAAATAAATAACCGCACAGACCTTCGTAGTAATGTACACATCTTGCCTTGTAGCTTCACTTTTGTTAATAAAATTTCGTACACCGAGGCCGACTTCGTCCTCGACGCGGTAAAGGGAGGCAGTGTCGATGTGTCGGTACCCAGCTTCCAGCGCCCATTGTACTGCTCTAGCCAGAGAGTGGTTTACCGGCAGGACCCGTGTTCCCTACGAACAAGGAACATCACTATGTTAAATCTGTCAGCGATCGACGAAACATGGTTAGGAATTTTCGGAATATGTTTGCTTGTAGAAGTATTTTATTTATCAATACCTGTTATAAAAAAAATGTTAATTTACTAGAATCAATTTTTGTATAAATTATACGCGTATATGTATATTCCTTTGTCAATAAAATATGATAAACTAAATTGGGTTAAATATTCTTATTTGTAACCATGTCTTTAAAAACAAAAAAAAAGAACTATCTAAGTATATCTTTCTGTTATTCTTCCATTTCCAATTATGTCAGAAGCACACACCTAACTAATCGAGACGTGAATCAAAAAGCATGCGCGAGATCTTTAACTATGAAAACCTTATTGCACATCATTTCCCCTTTGATAAATAGCAATAAATAAAAAAGTGTAAGAAATTATTCCTACCCATCAAGGTTAAGTTAAATAAAAAGCAGAATAATTGTAAATATGTAACATATTTTTATCACTACCTACCCTAACTTTACTAGGTTTTTTTTATCTTTATTTTATAAAAATGGTTTTTTTCCAAACAGAAGATTTCAGCCCTATTATTGTATACAAAATGCAGTACTTACTTATCTTATTAAACCATTCATAGGTTTAGATAGCCCTTAACTTTAAACATACTTCAGCTTTAACACGTGACTGACAACACAAAAAATAAACAGCCATAATAACGCAGCAACACAACCTAGTTTCGCACGCAAGCAAACTTACGGGCAAACGGTAGTTTAGTAAATAATCCTTGTATTTCAAAGTTTCAATACACACGTACGTATGTCAAGGTACATAATGAAGCGAAACGTATGTTCCAGGCTGCATTTGACTAAAGGCTTTGACAGGATAGATGGAACTCCATCTTAATCAGCTTTCCCCAATCCCGTTGTGAGCGCTCTATTCCTGAGATCGCATTAAGATTAAACGGTAACACTGTTTTCTATACAAAATGAAATTGACAAACAACATTTTCAAGTGAATTCTGTAAACTAATTTGCGTTTTGTTTGCTTTTGTTATTAACATAACGTTACGCTAGTTACAGCTCTAAGGGAAGGCAGTGGTAAATCGAGTTTGTATTAAACAGTTGCCTGTATCTATTGTCATATTGTACAGATAGTCTGCTTACTGTCTAGAATCTCAGAATCTCTACTATTACTAAGGAATTTTGAAAAAAGTCCATCATTACTTCAATACACAACCCAAGTTCGAACTGGAAACTTCGTGATTAGATTGGAATTTCTAGGGTTTTTCTTGTACATACATATAAAAGTATAAACCTACCTATCAATCATGTATCATGTATTTTTTACTTCATGCATAGGGTTACATGGGCGGGCTTAATGTCTTGTAGTCTACTAGTTGATCATTGGTACTTACATCAGCTAAATGTCCCAGGCTAGTCCCGAGGGCGATCGCAGGTATTTCGTTCCCATCGTTAAGTTTGTATGTCAATGCTTGCGTGCCTACGACCTGTAGGTAAAAGAAAAAATAATTACAAATCTAGATTGCCAGACAAACCAATAAATATAATAAAAAAGAAGACTTTTATATGAACTCCTTAAGAGTATAATTAGATAATCCCCCCTTTCCCAATCTCCCAATTCCCCGTTCATAAATCCATAACAATCCCCAAGAGCTCTTGCGATGTTTACCAAAAGTCTGTAAAACACGTTCTAGATTACGAAATGCCAAACCTAAAATCCACTCAATATGTATACTTATTTTATCTCATGATCCCCCAAATATGTAACATAAACAGAATAACAAAATCCAACTGTACCAATTCCAACTACTATCTAGCTTTCATTTTGCATACATTAAAACAGTTGTACAACAAAAGTTTTCACCTGAAGTAGTTACTTATTATTCAAACAAATATTTACTCTAAATTCTTAACAGTTGAATAGAATCAGTAATTATAATCGTCCTAACAATATTTGCATTGTTATGGGCTCTGCATTCATTACAGATTTGCGTTCCAGTGGCATAATATCCATTCAGGCGCAAATCCGCGTAATAGGCATAACCTATTATGAACTAGCCATTGTATACCAGCGGTAAACAATATGCCTATTAGTATTGAGAAAAGCTTAATAAACAAGCAACAGACTGACAAAAATAGGAAATTCAAGACTTGTCCACAGTCATAAAAAAAAACATTTTAAGTATTTTTAGGGTATGAAAAGGTATTTGGCAGCCTGAAAATATGTATATAAAAAAAATGTTCTTACTCGTCCTTCTGAAGGCATTCAAAAAAAACAAAAAATCCTTAACCTTTCAATCATGGTAATTCGAGAAACTATAGAAGAACAATAGTTGCACGGGCGCCGGCGTTCGCTTGGGGTTTAGTGAATGAAACAATATTATATTATATTATATAAATTTCAGTGTCTACCAAAAATATATAAAATAATCGAACAAAATATAGTGTGCTAGCATAAAAACCAAAAAAAATACGTACCAAAAGATGATTGAGTGTTAAAAATAAAAGTGGAAAACGCAGGCGAGCGTACACGTCCATTATAGATAAAATATAACTATATTCTATACATTGTAAAACTGAGTGGAAATTAGAGTCTGATCGATCATCGATGTAACACTATCGATTTTAATGCCTGGTGTACTGGTCGAAAGCGATACTCTAGTCTGTTTTTATATGATACAGAAACATGAGAACCAGTGAACACCAACGAAAATTGAATGTTGTGCCAATGATATACATATAAAGCATTGATAAAAACCAATTTGTGTAGATCTGTGTGCCTGGAGGTCAAGGTGCCCGCTTTTCATGCATCAATGCGGGTTTGAAACCTGTCAAGTACTTATGTATGTGACTTTTTCCGAGTAATATGTGTACTTTCTATTGATTATTTAGACACCACTGACATACGTTGAAAGAAAACATCGTGAGGGAACCGGTACTTATAATTTCTAATTTTAAGTTTGTTTGAATTCAATGTTGTTGGTGACGATAGTGTAAGATATCGTTTGACACCCTCGACCTAGCCATGGGTGTCATAAGACCAGATTATGGGAATATATGTACACAACAATAGCGATCTCTGACACACTAGAACCTAACTTGAGATAACGGGATACTTTATTTTTGTAAATGAAATTTTTATAAAAGACTATGTATGTCTGTACAGATGACGCGTTGGCTGTGCAACCGACTGCCGTGCGATCAAACAAAGACTTGGGAACAATTCTTTCGCACGAAACAAATGTGTTTAATCCATAAATTGTGTTCTGGGTGTGGTAAGTATACTCTGTTTATTAGCGCGTCCACGACATAGCAGAAAGCCCTGACTCATGTAAAATTATAAAATAATGTTATATGCCAGTTTTAAGAATCAACATTCATTGCGAGCATGTTGCGGGAGGCGGAAAAACCTCCTTACTTTTTTCTCGACGCTTGGCTTGGACTAAGGCAGAGTGCGAGAGGTCTCTGTCGCCGAATGCTCCACCGTAACTTCCGGGTGGTTGTAGCAGTGACAATACCCGAGGGTTTCCTCCCTCTGAAACTGAAAAAGGACCCTCCCGAAACTTCTGTGTCTGATAAGCAACTGCGTCACGCGGCGTCTTTCTTGCTACTCCGCAAAGAAGGATCTTACTGCTACGATAACAGTGAGCCCAACGCTCAATTGAGACAGTCGTTGCTTTCATTCAGCCATTTTATCGCCTTAGAACTCATCTCTCCAAACCTTCGAGCTTGATCTTATGTTATGACTAGCTACTCTTGCACGGTTTCACCCGTCGCTGAGCTCCATTTGATCATAGCGTGATGTTTTAGCCTATAACACTCAGGAATACTGTAGCTATATCAGTGAAAGAATTTTGGAAATCCGACCAGCGGTTCCAAAGATTAACCCCTTACATACAGACTTACAAATTACAAATATTACCTCTGTATGATATTAGAAAAGATCAAATCACCATTGCACTCAAAAAGTGAGTACCATTATGAACAAAACTCTGCCTATTCCACAGGGAAATAAAAGGTGTGATGATATGTTATATATATTTATCCCGAGGGTCTAAACTAGGTTGTAAATAGTAGATAAACTTTTTGCCACTTATCTGAGTCCCATGGAATTGGGGTCAAACGTACTGCCGTAAACCGAACTTGAGGTTAAGACTCCAATACATGAAAGTATACCAATCAGTGAATTTATTTCAATAAGTTTTCGACTTTATTGCAAAAACTTTAGAGTAGTAAATTTATCAAAGAAAACCGAAACGGATGGCTTGATGTTCTGTTGCATGTGCTGTTTAAGTTGTCATGTTCTTTAAAAGATAGCACGGGTCTGTTCCGTTTATATCTTTTTTTATTACTTTTGAAAGTTTTTGTTTGACAAGTTTTTGTCGATATAAAACCTATAAGTTGCATTTTCAAATTCGATGTTCTTACACAAATTTTGTGACCTCAATTTTATCTAGTAACTAGTAATATATTCATAAATTTTGACTAAAAGTCAGCCCATATGACGCGAACGACCTTTGTGCTAACTGCTTGATTTTCATATAAATATCAGAAAAAACTCTTGAGTCATATTTTATGGGCGAGTTTAAAACGACGCGCGACGCTACGTGTGCTGAATGGCGAATTAATCCATGACGTAATGTTTTATCTTTATTTTAATTCGTACCATTTTATCATTGAGAATTATTTCAATGAATAAAATACTGTTTCTTTATAAAATATATAGAATGAACTGTTTTTCCTATTGTACCTATGCATATACTTATTCTATGGAAAAAGGCCAGTGTTTTTTTAAAGACTAAAAAAATTCAAAATGTCTATCCAAACCTAGATACTATACCCCAAAATAACATAAAAACAAATCAATAAAGACTCATCATGACATACAATAAAATATAACTTCTCATAACAAATAAAATCGACTTCCGAAGCACAATACAAACACAGAAGTGTACAGAAACTATTAATTTAAAAAGAGCATCCCTATAAATAAAGAATGGCAACACAGACGGACAGATACGTAGCGGGCCCGTTTAAAAACTTCCTCTTTGTTGTCGGGAGATAAACTGCCGTATCTCCCGGGATTTGTTCCCCGCTTGGGCCACGGAACCTAAAGACATCTTTAATAAGAAAACACAAGGACTTACGAATTTTCAGAGTAGGTTGTATACGTTTCCCCTGCTGGTGGCTTTTACTTTGCAACTTTTTAATTTATTTTTAGTTTGTTCTCTTTTTGTGGTTCCGCGTTCATAGTTTCCTTTTAGTATTAATTATAGGGGTGTGTAACGTTTTTATTTCATTTAAAAACTGTGATTGAATATCTTTAGTGTTCATTGTTTTGCGATCTCGTTTGAAAGTATTAGTTATTTATATTGCTCTGGACTATTTTCTCTTCCATCTATAACTATCGCTACGAAATCTCTAATTACTTCCATGTAAAGATAGACACTAAAAAGTATAGCTTTTAAGGTTTTTTTCCATTCTAATCCGTACTCTCAGGTAGGTAAGAAACTGGAAACCAAACTAAGACCGCAGCTACACTGGCAAAGCGAAGTCGATTCTTCGTCGGCACGACTAAAACAAATGTATTTTAATTAATGGGGTGGCCGTGTCGCAAATGCGGCTTGTGGGATTATTTTCGTCTTGTTGTCGCCCCGCTCCGGTAGTGTGGTCGTGCCTTACAGCTCTATGGGATTTAAATTGAAGACCGAATGATTGAACGAAGAAACTTTAAAGGATTTGATTGTAAGGTTTCGTAAGACTGAGATTTGTATTTTATACGAAATTAGATTTTATAAAATATATCTGTATATGTATACTAATATTATAAAGAGGTAAAATTTATAAGTTTTTATGTAGGGGGTTAGCTTTGGAAACGCTGGTCAGATTTCCAAAATTCTTTCACTGATAGATAGCTACAATGTTCCCGAGTGCTATGAAACATCACGCTATGATCAAATGGAGCCGAGCAGCGGTTGAAGCGCGAGAGTAGCTAGTAAAATATAAATAAAATTAAAATTAAGCATATAAGGTAGGTAGGTACGGAGACTGAACGTCACCTATTTATGTAGCGTTCAATTAATTTCAATGAATAATTGTTAAAAAAAGATTTTTCAAGAGAGTAACGATGGAATTTCTTACTCATTCTTCTCCATTCGAAACTACATACAATTTGGAACGAGCACCTAGCTTCACTGACGACCAGACTGACAGACTACTATTATATTTTGACGTTTCCAAAGTATCTATTTATGGTTTAGTTGCATTAAAATGTTTTTGATTTGATTTGATTCGATCAATGCAAGTTTAGAAAGTCTCGTCCCACAAGTCTAAGTAATTTTTACACAACTTCATGATAAAGAATTGGCCAAAATAACACATACTAAGCAAAACAAACAAAGAATCAAGCCATATTGGTATAAACTGTCCAGCAAATAAAATACTTTCTTAACCACATATAAACCATGTGATATCAATAATTTATAGGCCTAATGGTCTCAGCAACCAATGACCTCACCGAACGATTACAATGACAAACGAGACAAAAGAACTATCTCAAACTAATGCTTTGAAATACATAAAAATAATAAGGTGACATTATTTAATTCCGCCTCCATGTTCCGATAAGGAATCGTATAAAACTTTTGTTGCGCCGAAACACAAAAGGTTTTATCTGTTTTATTAGTTGTAATTTTTCTACGTTGCTTTGTACATATGTGCGTAGTGAAGTACTTTCGCTTCGATTATGTTTATTGAAAAGTTATTTTTTGATTAATGCTAAGAAAATGTTAACAAACATTAACGAACCGTAACGATCAAAAAATCGTAGCAGAGACTGAACAATCAAAATTGATTACAAGATAGCATAGCCAAAGTCAGAGTCATCAAAACACACTAAACCAAAAACAATCAAGATTAATTTAGATTATTTAATACTAGCTTTTGGCCGCGACTTCGTTTGCGTGGAATAGTGACTTACTGCAGATTTTTGGTATGAAGTTTTTATACCATCCTATGTCCTTTTTCGAGTTCCAAACTATGTCTGTACCAAATTTCACAGAAATCAGTTCAGTAGTTCAGGCGTGAAAAAAATAGAGACAGAGTTACTTTCGCATTTATAATATTAGTTTGGATAATATACAAATCACACTTAGTCCAGATATCGAAATAGAAAACCTCATATCCACCAATAACATTTGACTCATACAGACCATTCGACAAATAAAACACCAATAAACACGACTTCATAATCACTGAAACTAGAGCAGCACCACTATCAATAATCCTCAATAAAATTTATCATCGTAATAAAACTCATGCGATCAATTTTTGAATTAATTGTACCAATCCACGATAAATCATTGGTATTCAATGCAAGCCCAGAATATTCGCAGTGCATGTTATGATATACGACCTTAGTACGTACCAACTAGGTTTATTAACGACACTTTCAAGTAATTTACTTCGGTTATAGGTACATTAAATTGTACCCAACGTTTAGTTTACGAACTTAGGCTTTCGAGAGCCTCATGAGAGTAATACAGGTATATTCCTTCATGAATATAAAACAACTTCAACGTTTCTTCTTAACGACTTTTATGCTAATTTTTATCATTGTGATGACA